CTAGAGAGTGAAAGAAAGCAATAGGCAACCTCTGACAAGCGCAGCAGCGAGGCGCCCCGATCTAATATATAAGATACTCTAGCTATATACGACCGTGGGAAAGCCGCAGCACCTCTATCGCCACGAACGACTCGTTATAATATGCTCGCGAATAAGTTGCCTAACTCTCTTCGATTTAGTCTCGTATGGGAAAGGCAGTAAGTAAAATTCGCAACCGACACTATATTCGATCGTCAGCACGTATTGCAAGATACGCCGAACTTAAGGCAATTTCCGAGGGTCCTTATATGAAGGCAAGCGAAGGCAACGCTGGTTCGTGGAACAGATATCTATTGGAGGAGGCAGCTAGGGGCAATTACCATTTCAGGGGCTAGTAAAGACACTTAATCTAAAATTAGTATATTTGTTTGTTCTAGAAGGCTCGCAAGGCCCCTTGCTTGCTCCTTTGTGACCTATAGGCTCGTTGCCTTCTGTGCCCCGGTTTAGGAGTTAGCCATCTTCGCTAAGGCGCTTGAAATTCCGCCCCGATCCTCCTAGAGACTCCGTTATGGACCTTCTGCTTGCGTTGCCTGGTATGTTGTGAAGACCCTCGAGGGGAATACTGACAAAATCTTATGGTGATATTAACTGGCTTTCGATAAGGGAGAGTGAAATCCAGTGCAACTTCTTCGTCTTGTCCGCCATCGATGGAGCCGTGGGCCTCTCTACTCGATAGCAGGCACTGAATAAAGTGACCTAGAATGTAAGTCTAGGAGAATAGTTATCCTTCCTATCGCTACGAGAAAAGAATGATGAGCCTCTCGAAGATCGCTTGGTGCGAGTGTCGGCTGCGTGTCGGTTATAGGTGACTTTAAAATCTCATCTTGCGCACGTTTGTCGCCACGGCTCGCGCCTTTATATTGGGTCACGGTGTCTAGAGCCTCTGGTGTTGGCGATTCAGGACATAGAAGCCTGCCGAGAGCACGCAGTTGGCTAGTTTGTCCACGTGCAATCGACTCCGTATCCGTATACTCCCAGAACGTCGAGAGGGAGTCAGTCGACATGGCAGGCAGGGGGTTCTTTGTGGGATTCTGCCGTTTATTGGCCTTCTAAGAGTGCAAGAATACGAGAATGATAGGGGACCGAGGAAACGGGTGGACCGGTGCTTAAGTTTCTCTATCCTCCACGCGACTGCAAACGAGCTATCCCAGATAAGCTTTTCCGTGACTCCTAATGTGGGCTCTAGCAAATCATCCCGTACGTTCTCTGCAGTGCAAGTTTGGCCGCCCCAGGGCATCTTTCGGCCAGCTGTCTTTTGCCCCTTATTCCTCTTTCGGGACAGTAGTCCGCTGTTGCTTGACTGATGCTTGTAAGCCACCTCCTGGAATAAATGTCTAATAGTCAGCCCCAGCTTAACCAGGACACCTCTAGCTTCTGCATCTACGCGCCGATCACATCCGAGGTTTCTTCAAATCCATCAGCACCCAACCTCCGAATAGGTACTAGGGCGAAGAGTGACTAGGCGGACCGCCTCGTCCGCATAACACGGACCAGCCCGCAGCTCTTCTACAGCGGGGTTCAGGGGGTGAGCGTGACGCAGGATTCTGCCTGTTGATTTCTCTTCTCTCCGACTTGGCCCCAAGTGCCAACATATATGAATATGCATGGGAAGGTCGGGAGGTGGCGAAGCTTTCAGCGTACGAAGCTTCATGGCAAGGAATAATTGCCCTCCTCGGCATCAGCCTTGGAAGAAGAAGGTAACCTCTGTAAGACCTGCGTGGGAGTGAGCGGCTCCCAGGACCTGGTCCAACTGGCCAACCGACCAACCGACTTGCCACTCCCCTTGTTGGGGAACCTTGGTGAGGTGGCCTGAGGTCTATTCGCTTTGCTGGCTTGGACCCGTTACATGGGCTTTTGGCGATGCTTGCGCCCGTAGCAAGGATACAAGGAGAGCCTACTGGTTCGCCCCATAGGGTGGGAAATGCGAGATATCGCGATACTTCCAACCTCCTTTCAAGTAACTCGATTCATAATCTCCTTGAATGCAGAAGGCTTGGATTCTCTACGGTCAAACACATTTTGGAGTTCGGCCGCATCAGCTATCGTGGCAACCGCCTGAGCTTCCGAGGTCTGTCACTGCATTTACTAGCCTTCGCAGCGCTACTCCTTGGTCATGAGCGTTGTAATTTAGATTCGAAGTTACCTTTTAACATTCAACAAGTTGTGGATCCAGCAAGGCCGTCATCTGCGCCAAAATCGCCCTTCCCCGTATATACTAGATCTCGATGCTCCCCTCAATGCAACCCTCAGGGGTTAGATACGACAGTATATTTTCTCTTCCTGCTCCCCTTGTTATTATGGAGGGTCTATCGCCACTAAGTGAGGGAGAAGGTTAGACGGACTCCCTTAGCTACCTGGTGAACGCAGTTTAAAGTACAGAAACTCGTGATTGAGGCCGGCCAGCAGGCGGAACGCGCGATGGCAGAGGTAGCACTCGTAAGCAGCGCCGTTCCACCCGATTGGAGGCCTCATATTCGGCGGAGCCGGTCCAGCCGATGAGGTTTTTGGAGATGAGTCCGCATGGATCCTTACCCCGGACGAAGCGATATATAGCGTCGCGGTTGAGGTCCCACGCGTCGGAGCAGGCCCTGGCCTCGAGGTGATGGGTCAGTTCGGCAGCGGTGGCGAAGTCGTTTTTGCAGAAGAGGCACTTTATCTGCTGGTCCCTCCCTATCGGCGCGCGACTAGAGGTGCTATCACCTCCGCAGTTAGCTTCCGCCTCGGCCGGAGAGTGGCGCCGGCTTGCGTACTATGGTTAGGTTGTTGAAGTTTTGAAAGGTTCGGTTGCACTCAGCGCAGTAGTTGTGGTCCTGGTGCTCGTGCTCGGTGCGTCGCTCCTCGGTCTGCCACGTGTCGTAGCAGCACGCACACTCGTACCGCTCGACGGTCTGCCAGTGACCCGTATCTCTCATGTGCTGGTTGCAAGCCTGCTGACTGCCGAACCACCGCGGGCACACGTCGCACTCGAACGACGGTCGTGAGTGTCGGGTCGAGTTGCAGTGGTTGTCACGGGTCCTCCAGCCCGCCGGGAACGGTCATACAAAACGCAATCCCGGTGGTTGCGGAGAAGCTGCATACAGTACTGACTCAACAAGTCGCAGCCGAGCAGTTAGCCGAGCGAAGACATCTGGACCTTTTGGGGGCTTCTTATTAACTATGCACAAAGTTGGATGAGTTTGCCCAGGCGACCTACACCGTCACTTTCAGCCCTGGTCAAGGTGCTGCAGGTCAACATGCGGAGGTCGCGGGAGCTCAACAGAGACGCCGCAGTCCACGAGAGACGGCTCTAAGGCCCGTGATACGCCCTTGGCAAGTGGTCGGTCCGACACACGCTCCGCTCCCTCCAGAGCAGCAGCAGGGAATGGTGCAAGCGGACCAGGGGCAAGCCCAGGGGAGATCGCATGGCGAGCCGCCTTGGCCGCGCCAACCTCCGAGCTTCAAGCTCCCCCGTTCTGTCAAATCTGTACAGGAGCTGCTGCGTCTTTAGCCGCAGGACTAGGACGAAATGCTTTCTGTGGACTCTCTTGAGTGTGACTAGGGTGCTCGCTAGCAGCCGTCTGCAGAGAAGAATTACTTCTCCACGCGCAAGATCATCGTCGATGAGGTTCGGAGGCGGGTCCAGTCGGACGGCTTAACTGAAGATATCGTGGCGAGGCAGATGGACGAAGAACGTGTACCCAGCTCTTTGGATAAGTTGTTCGAGGCCATCCGGAAGGGCGGGCAAGGCGAAAAGACGCAGACGTGCGTCAAGGCAAGCCAACGTCGGTGGTAGCGAAAAATCGATGTGAGTAATCTCCAACACCCCGTCTGATGGAATGACGAGGGCCTTGGCGGCGAAGGTGCCCCAGGCCGTCAGGGGCTGCGTCGCTACAGTTAGCGGTAGCGGCCTGTAGACAGGGTATGAATCTCGCTAAACATCGCTGTAACTCCAGTGCGTTCCCTTTCGCCGCGCAGACGCCTGACAGGCCATCGTCTCCCGCTGAGCCCAGCTAGCTACGGCAGCGACTGCATGCATTAGCACATGGACGAGAGAGTCCCCCATCCTCTTGACTTGCAGACGGGCTCTTGCAGCCCGTCGTGAAGATCCGGGGTTGTGTGTCATGGCCTGATTGGTCCGACTTTATGCTGTTGGTTCAGGGCCAGGTCCCATGATCCCGATAGCGGCATGGTGGTTGGATGATGATGCTGGATCAGCAAACCAAGAGAGATGGAGGATGGAGCCGGATATTTGCAGTCATCCGGACAGTTAACACCACGGCCATCACGCCAGGCGGCGGCGGGAGAACAAGGTCGGCCGAGGCGAGACGAGGCAGCGGCAAGATCTACGCAGCCCGTGGAACAGAGAAAGAGGAACCGCCTGCCCCACCGAGACCAGCCCCAGACGAAACGTACTCGAGGCGGCCATCGGAGGCAGAGGAGAACTGAGCCACAGGCGGAGGATTTGGCCAGCGTCTTACGTCACCTTGAAGAGGAATTCGCCGCGAAGGAAAGGCTGTCCAACGAGCAAACCTGGTGCATACCAGTGCCGCATGAGAGAGGAAGATGTCGACGGTGCGAGGTTTCTATCAGGCGTTACAAGGTACAACGTCTCAGGCGGCCAGAAGCAGACGCTAAGATATCCCAAGCACGTCAAGGACCACATCACAGTGTTCCCAAACAACGTGCAGAAGCTGGGACGAACGTGCTGCCGCACCCTCTCTTCAGGTAATGGACGAGATTCACGTCTTGTGGCAGGGGGCGCTAAGGCCGACACCGAGCGACTTGTCGAGTCTCCTATCGGTGAGGCGGCGAGTCGTCGAGAGGGCCCTTGACCGGTTGAAGAGGAACAACCCCCACTACGCCGAGATCAAGTTCGACGCGGCAGAGATGGAGAGCTGGGGAGACTCGGCGTGAAAGAGCTTCTCCGGAGCCTTTCGCTGTATGGTTATCGTCAGCCCACATCCAGAGAGCTCCGTCTCAGTATGCGGCACAAGATCCTGGCGCTCATCGTCCGCTACGGCGTGCCTGCGATCTGGTTCACGATCAACCCAAACGACATTACGAACCCGGTGAAGCTCCGACTGGCAGCGTACCGCACGCGCGACCCTGGGGCGGCCGATGAGTTCCTGCGAAGCCTCGATATGTCGTTCAAACGGGTGCGGCTATCTGTCTCCGACCCGATGAGCTCAGCCATATTCTTCCACCGGGAGACGACGCTGTTCTTCGAGCATTACGTAAATGCAGGGCGGGGAGTCGGTGTTCGGGCGCATCAGCCACTACTACGGTGCCGTGGAGACCAACGAACGAGGCTCTCCCTTCACGTCCACGGGCTGCTCTGGTTACATGGAAACGCGCACCTGAGCTCCATGCTTTCCGACGCCCACGGGGAGGAACAAGCCGCGTACCGTAAGCGAATCATCCGCTATGTCGATAGCGTCTTCTGCGAGGTAACGGCAGGGGCGTTGCTGTCATGGGCCGAGAAGACGCAGGCTGACGCGGAAAGCAGGACTTGGACCAGGAAGGCCTCTGCGCCGTGCAGGCGGAGCGTTCGGTGACGTCTGACGTCTCATCCCTGGTGGACAGTGCCGAACAGTTCTCGGCCGCATTCAAGAAGCCAACTTCTGAGCCGGCGCGACGCAGATCCACACCCATAACCCGACATGCGTCGAGTACTCCCTGGGCAACAAGGGGCGAAAGGGAGACCTCTGTCGCTTCAAGGCGCCTTGGAAGCTGGTCGAGAAAACAACGTTCTCACAGGACGGCGTGCTGCGGATCCGTAGGTCGCATCCCATGGTGAATCAGTGGAACGAGGCGATTGCCGTGGGGCTCCGCCACAACTATGACATCTCCTTCATAGCGACGCAGCGGAAGACCATGGCTCTCGTATATTACGTGACGAATTACGCGACCAAGGTAGAGGACCCGACATGGAAGCGCGTCGCTGCGGCCGCGGAATTGCTGCCCATCGTCTCGGCAGGTGGCCAGCCGGCCGCTGGGGAGGATGCCGGAAATGGCGTCGTCGGCGACGACGGAACCGAAAAGAAGACGCGGCAGTTTCTTATGAGAGCGGTGAACCGGGTGTTCACGGAGCGGGCTCTGTCGCAAGTCGAGGTCGTCGCCCATCTCTTGGTATACCCAAGCGAGTTCACGAGCGGCAGCATCTGGGCGTACCTGAACGTTGTCGGTGCTCTACTGGCACGTCTCCAGACGGTGGCGATACCTTCGGCAGAAGAGCGCCACCAATAGAGTGACGGCGAGCGGCCTCGAAGTGGAAGAAGTTCCGCCATGTCTGTGAACCGAAAACCGGTTTGGTAGCGCTTGGGTACGCTGTTGGTTCCCTGTTGCATTTTATGCAGGGTAATAAAGGCTGCAGGGAGGGATACGTTTTTACTCTAGTTGGTTCGGGGTTTTTGCACCTATGCACTTCAGCTCCACAGCCGTTAGCTCAACATATAGAATCTGAGGTCAGCCATATCCCCCGACAGGCATGGGTGGGTGTGAGTCACTTTTTTGTTTTCGCCGCGGTGAGCTCGGATCGAGGGGTTGCTCTGAAAATTATAGGTGACCGACACAACGTTACGGCGCTTGGCGAGTTGAGTGCGGCGTGTTGCTCGAGTTGGGCTCAATCAGGTGCGTCAGCCTCTTATTCCGGCGCTTGGAATAGAAACTCGCAGGGCGCCACCAAGCAATGATTGTAGTACTTAGCTATGTACGTGGCTGTGCGTGCAGATGCGAAGGCCCCCAGCGCTCAAGTCCTTTCCAGGGCAGATGTGGCAACCATCTCAAGAGAATGGCTTGCATTATCGGACGAACATGTAATGCAGGCTTGACACAGGCAGGACCAACAAATGACGCACACGGCCTTCGATCGTCAATTCGCCAGCGGATGCACTTTTACCTGTGGTCTCAACGCTAGATTGCACGCGAAACTCGGCTTCAACATGACCTTTTGTACAGTATCGATTGTGCTGTCACCAACACATACTTATCCTTGTGCGGTCCGTGGTGCCATTTTCCTGTGAGGCTGCCGTGCGCCTACATCGACAGCTTGGCGAGACTCGTTCGACAGAATCGATCGAACGGGCGCCAGCGGTTAGATTCGACCGCGAATGAAATACGCTGCGTTCGATTCCATGCGAATCTACCTAGGCCCGCTCAATTCGCATCGAATTCAACGCCACGAAATTCGATTCGACATTCGTAAAGACTAGGGGGGTCGAATGAATCTATCGAATTCGATTCCCGTTCGTAAGATGCCCATCCCTGGGTTGTAAAGGGTAGAGGGTCAAAGTCTTCGGCACTCTTCGCCAAATGTATCAACTTGTCATCCCCTAAGTCACTATCTGTCGTCATTGGTATGAGAGGTTCGATTGCAAGCCAATTTGTCTATTTCCAGTCTAAATTCAAGACGTATATATTTGGTCGTACAAACTGGTCGTCATTTTCGTTCCGGCCACTATCGCATCGATCCACTCGTTAATGTGCGGTGCTAAGAACTCGCTATCGCAACTATTCGCCGCCAAGTCGAAGTCTTTTGCAAACGGCTCGATTCAAAAACCCTGACCCACTGCGGTTGAAGAACTCGCATTCTTTCCACAAAATAGCAGCGCAAGAGCGTCAGCTCATGCTCCATCAAATGCTCCCAATACAAACTTCCAGGATCGTCATTGGCATCAAATCGGTATCTGCTCCGGTCGGGCACCATAGTCCGATTTGGACCGATCAAGAAAGAAGGATAGGAGCATGCTTTCCACAGTGGAACCGCTGACACGCACTCCCAGTCCAAAACTCCAGTCAACGTACCGTTTTCGTCCACCAGAATATTATGCTGAGAAAGGTCGTCATGACAGAGCATTGAAGGCTCTCGGTGTGCGCTCTTTTCGGGAAAGACATCGCCGAGGATGCTTTGGAGCCTTTGGATGATTTCCAGTGTCCTCTGCGCATCTTCGAGGTCATCTGCGTCTTGACTATTGGCCAATGTCGATTTGCATTCATACTCGTTGAGAGACAAACGTGCTGCGATCCAGTCTTTGCTTGATCGAAATGGTCCTCGCGGAACGCTTTGTTGCAAGCGACTCCTCCCCCAAAAAAACTGCATCGAGATAATCCTCCCCACTTCAGTAAACTTGGTCTTGCCATGAGACTTTTCTCTCGGATCTAGGAAGATATTGCCAATGCCGCGCAGTTGATTCTTAAACAAAACGGACGCATACAATGCGAAATGATGAACTATTTTCTGTTTCGCCTCCATGTCGATTGATCTCCAGGCCTTAGACAATGTTTTGCCTGGCATCTTCGTCATAAGAATCCACTCAAACCCAAGAGCATTATCTTGATTACTTTGATAAGCAAGGACCCTTGGTAGCGGAAGCGCGGTGTTGTCGTGAATCCATTCCATGGTGGCAACTTCACTGGCTGTCTTCCACTCAGGGTCAACCGGTAATGACACCCGCATAATGAGAGTTCCGCCATCTATGCAGACTGTGTAGATTTTGTTGAACGCTCCTTGGGCCAAGAATTTTACTTGGAGACAGCGTGCCGTTGTGGTTGCCTCGATCACTCTCTTGATCGATTCGGGGTCGATTTCAGTGGTCCAGCGAGGCTCGAGTGAGAAAGTTGTCGGCACCCATTCGAACCCCTTTGACTGCTGCTTTGGTGATGCCATTGCTTTGAGAACCTGTAGCAACCGAAAGGCGGGGTGAGGCGTCCATGTTTTAAACGTGTCGCCTCCGTCCATGTCGCCCGAAAGTTTTTCCGTCGCCGCTAGGGGCGAACAGAGCAAGTCGCATCCATCTCCGCGCAGGGCCCACCCGGTCGGCATGGTTCAGGCCGTGATTACCAGCTGCCTCCTGATTGGCCGGCCTTCCTACTTTCCATTGGCTGCTCGTGCCAATGCTTTCCTCCATACCACCTGGCCCTCCCGCGCCGGCCGCTAAGGCCTCTTTAACCCCTCAGATCCATTCCCCCGTCCCCTGTCCCTCTCCTGCTTTCTTATTTCTTGTTGGTTTTTGATCCCCCTGCCAATGCAATACCCCCCTCGTTCCTCAAGGCTCCTTTGCGCAACCCACGATCGGGTTGCCTCCCTGTCGCCTAAAGCATGTGAGCCTGCACTTAATGAGCCATAGCGCCTAATGATTAGATGGGATTGAACGGAGCAAAGCCCGCTGCCCGTCCGACATCTATCTCCGATATCCATCTAAAGCATGCGACCCTGCATCTGTTAGGCAATAGCGCCTAATGATGGGATAAGATTTTATTAGAGCAAAGCAGGGGTTCTCTGCGCAGTGAAAGATTTTGCCGAGAAAGTACTGGTGGGATGTGGGGTTTGGGGGTGGATGAATTCGAATCCTTCACCAGTGCCAGCTATATCTTCTCGCTCCTCCCTTACATCGCCAACCCTCCTCGACACGAGATAAACGCCACGTTTCTCACGGAGAACCTCAGTCCAGCATGGGTAAAGCTAGCAAAGCCCTTAAGACATTTATTGAAGGCATCCCCGACAATAAACTACAAGATATCACAGACGGAGAACACACGATATTCAAGGACACTGATTTCCGGCTAGATATGCAGGGTGTGAGTGCGCTTGCTAATCCCAAAAGGCTTCATTATTTTGCTGACAGAACTTTCCGCATGAAGAAAACGAGCGGTGATCCCCAAAGCTATAACCTTCAGGTTCAGATCAATAACGAAACAACCATCTCAACACTGAAAAAGGAGAAAGGCAAAACTGTTTCAACGGCACTGGTCCCAATAGATGGAACGTGGAGCCCTCAAGAAATACGGAATAAGCTCATCTCTTCAATGAAGTTGTGAGGCAGCTATGTGGAATACGGCGTTTCAGATTAGTGCAGCGCGCGCACGCCTCTAGACGCTGGCATTCGGGTTTGAGCGCCAGTATCGCTGTTTCCTTAGGCCGGAAGGCCAAGCACAGTTCAGTCTATCAATATGATATTTCCATTGCATGCGAGTTATTTGTTCTGAATATCAAAATCCGCAAGTGGCCCCCGGGGCGCGAACGCCAGTGTTATCTAAGACGATGGCGTCCTCCTCGACCACCCTCGGTGCTTCTGCGATGCCTTTGGCGTGCTTTGGCCGGTGAGTGGAATTCGGCTCGCACGAGCTTGGCTGGCTGCGGTCGTGGTTGTGCCGCCGGTACGAACCTTGGATGCGTGCTTTTGTTTCTCACCATCATTCTAGGGTCCGTCGTAGAAACTCTAACTGTCGGCGTCTTCTTGAGCCTTGCCTTGCTTGGTCCTTCTGCTGAGCAGCAATAGATTTTCGTCTGGCGGGGAAGATGCGTGCTCTGACAGCTAGCTTAGACCAGCTGGAATGCGGCTCTGTGACTGTAACGAATAACCGCAAGAGAATCACAAATTAGCATGCATCCTACGGTTCGTCTCGGCCCCTGTCACACACAGACCACATGCCATAACTGTCAATTGCGAACCACTTGTTGGAGCGCGCGTTCTACTTTTGGTGCAATAGCCCCCTTCCACATTAGCGTTGGTGCGCTATTTGCTGCCGTTAGATGTTGTCGGCAGTCCATGTAACTGTGACCCCCTGGCTCCCACAGACACACGCGGGAATGGCCTGTTCTGACTTTGGTCTGCTTTCTGCTGAGCTCTCCACTTCATTGCTGATTAGTTTGGAGCTGGAGACTCCTCACAGCGTGAGAGCGGATTTTGCCCGCGCTGCCGATGAAGTGTGGCGTGGCCCAAGGCTAGCAGCTGCTCTCACGAAGAAAGTCAGCAGAAAGGGCATATATTGTAGAAAATGGGTAGTTGTTGTGTATTTCTGTGTCCATGTTCCTTTCTTTCTGCCCTAAATCCAAGTCCCTATTTATATCTCTTTTTTGGACTATAGTTTGGGCTATTAGTCCTCTTAATGGTCGGGACTATTCAGAGCGCTGAGCCTATAGTCCTATTAGGACTATAGGCTCCTCTGACCCTGGCCTCCACGTTGTAGAGAGTTTCCAGGTGTCCAGATGTGCCCTGATCACCTCCACAAACGAAGCAGCGATCGGATTCCAAACTGCGGATGGCGACGAGCTTACTGCCGACGACTACAGCTCTGATAGCAGCGGCGAGCCGAGCATGAAGTGTCAGCTGCTCCAGCGTACTACGCCCCATCCTGAGGGAAGGCAGCGACAATCACTCATTCATTACGCTTATGCTGGAAAGTGAAGGAGAGCAACTGGCAACCACAGACAATCGCAGTAGGCTCAGCAACTTCAGCTTGATCTTCCCAATCAACCATTTGATCAATAGTTCAATCTCTCGAGGTCCCCGTGCCAGTGAGAGATATACCAAACTCCTCAAGAGGTCCCCGTTCGAATAGGAGATCCTCCGGACCCCTCAGTGGTCTAGGAAGAAGAAAGAACAGTCTGCAGAACCCCCTTCTTACCCGGTTTCAAGCTATATTACCTAGGGAGTCCTAGGGGCCTTAACCCGTTCAGACCTTCTTCTCGACACATAATTACCTGTTAATTTTATAGAGAAATGACCATCCGTATCAATAAATCTTGCCAATCAAGCATAACGCGGTGGGTCGTCGCCATATCGCCGCACTTCGGGCGACGATCATCACCTTTTCCCTCCACGCCTTTCGTCCGTCTCCCCGCTGGATTTCGGCGCAATCGCCTAGCCAGCGAAGCACTCCCCTGATGGTTCTGCCGCACAGCTCCTCTAACCTGCTCTGCGCGCCGCTCATCTCCTCGGGCACCCGGTTCCCCACCAGGTCTCTCTCCCGCACCTTGGAGACGAGCATGCTGGCGTCTAGCGTCCGGCACCGCGAGAGTTGCACGTACAGGCCGTACGGGTCGCACTGCGCGGGCACCACCCGCCCGTCGACGTTCGTCGCCCGTGCTCCCCGTAGCTCGAGGGCCACGCGCTCGAACGTTCTGCCTTGCACCTTGTAGTCGGTACATGCGAAGGCCGCCGCGCACGGCAGGCCTTTTCGGCTGACGTCGTTGCGCTGCCACGGCCGCTTCCGCTGGCGCTGGATCTTGACACTCATTGGCGTCAGCAGGATGGTGCCGGGTGGCATTCCGACGAAGTAGTACTCCTTGGTCGTCTCCGACGCCACGGCCCAAAATGCATCGTCGTGTCGGCCAGACATCTCAGTAATAAATAAATACATAATTTTGCTATATTGTTATGTATTGATAAGCAGACGTCCATATTGGTATGTATTGTTAAGCTTATCAAAATTTTTTAATATGAACCTCAAAAGCCGACTGTATGTGACTTCGTTGGTCACAAGTACTTCTCATCGTCAATTTTTGCTTCATGCCCATGGAGCAATGACGCTTGCAGTGAGCATTCGTATCTCCTCTGACCTATACGTGATGGACCTTCTCAAGATGATAGCGGGCATTGCCAGAAATGTGAGTGGACCACGATAGGTTGCGACAACGTTTACAGTAATGGAGTAAATTGCCACCTGTCGTACGTGGCTCATCGCCTCGAGCTTGCCGAAAGTGATGCCAAGTCGATGTCGCTCTCAACTTCCTCCTCTTGACTGCTGCTGGAGGCGAATACCGTACTCCTCAGATTCTGACGGTATACTGGCAGATTGAGAGACGCTGTCGGAGGGCAAAATTGATGAAGGACTTGACGTGATGTCAAACTCTGGCACGCAGGACACTCGGAGATCCATCGTCAAAACCGAGACATCGAGGCCCGAGGGGAACGTGCAGTGAGCATGGAGAATCTTCAATGAAAGATACGTACTTTACAATACCGAGCCCCTATGCACAGCACCACGGTCGACGTGTGGAAAAAGTAAGTACGCCTGATAGGGGACATCTATATTGTTATCGATATCGATAAGCTTAACAATAAATATGCCCATACTTATCAATATATATTGATTACTGAGATGTCTGGTGTCGACGCGGTGGCCCGGGTACGCCTTGTCGACGATGACCTCCAGCGCCGTGTAGCCGCCGCCGTTGGTCAGCTTTAGCCCCTGGTGGGTGTTTTGGGTCACGACGACCGGCATCCCCGGCACGAACATGAAGACGGCCGGCACCGGGATCGCGCTGTCGTCGCCCTAGTTGAGCATCATGATGGCCTCTTCCTCCATTGGCAGGCCTTCCTTCCACCTGTGCTCAGAGCACACGACAGCTTGAAGATACGGCAGATGGGACAAAGCAGAGCGCCAGGATTGCAACGCGTTTGGCGCCAGCTGAAGTCACGACCAATAACACGACCGAGCAGCAGAGGCTCAGTAGCAGCAGCAGCAATAGTGTCAACGAAGGCAGGGCTATGCTCCAGACGGCCTTGGACCTGCTGAGCGGCGGCACCGCGGCCCCGGAAAACACCTGTCCGGCATGTCGATGTGCCTCCGCCCCATTCCGTCACGATGGCGGCCCGGAGCTCGGCCGTCGAGGCCAGCGCCGCCGCTGATTGCTGGAAGCGCACAGCTGCTGTATCATTCCCGAAAGCTCGGGCGATCCCGCTGTGATCTGGCTCACCCCGGACGCGCTTCGGGCGAGGTCGATCAGTCGCGTTGCGTTTCCGACGTTGTCGGACTGGTACGCCGAGGTCGCGTCGTGGTCCGCCGGGCGTGGCCCCTCCTCCCCATCCTCGCCGAGTGCGCCAGCGGGATCCCCGTCGCCTCCCTCGGCCGGGCTTTGCGTCCTCAGCGACCGCCGGAGTAGTTGAACGTCATCGACGAGGCAGGAGGATCTCGGCGGAAGCTGCCCTCGCGCCCGCCGGATAGATACTCGCCGATTGGAGTCGACGTCCTTCACATGTATGCTGCCGCCTGCGATACCGCGAGTGGGAGCCACTCTAGCTCGTGCCCCGCCGGCGCCATTGCGCTGGTCGACGCAACACATACGGACACAATGTAGAATAATTCCGTAACTGAGACTCGCGGCCACCAGGCGAAGGTGATGCCTGCAGGGACGGCGATGCCTAAATGGGGCCCTGTGACTGGAAGGTAGCAGATTGGTGGGAGAAGCTGGAGACCCCTCATGGGTGAGGCTTAAATTTTGAGAGCAAGGTGGGTCGTGGAGTAGTGGAGTAGTGGTACGTGAGGGCGGCCCCCCCTTATCTCCGGCCGAGAACATGTAAGTTACTTTATATGCGGTTGGTTATAGCAATGTAGTATCTTAATGCAAAAGGCTGCAACTACGTATTCGTTGCCCCGGCCGTCCTTGCAGGTCTCGCATTTGCCCCCAACAGCGTGTCAATCTATGATTTGCCCGACTTATGCTGTTGGCCCTGCACTCGATGCTCCTCTCACTCGCGTGAATTGCAGAGCGGCGCTGACGGCAGCACTCCACTAGGTTGGTGGCTAGAACCATTCGTCTTTGGTACTCCAGGAGTGATCCTTCGGCCCACCATCCGTCGTAGCCTTAACTAACGTCGACTAGTCCTTGAAGGGGAAGTCTCGCGTACAATCTATGACTCTGCATTAAGAACCACATATAGTAACAACTGGATGGCCTCCTGCATGGGTCGCTGTGTCGACGGTTTGCCCAGCACCCCACTCGTTGGCCAATCTAGTTTGGTCACAATCACACCACCTCTATGGTAACACGACAGGCAGAACTGAGGTTCAAATTCTGCCTGCCAAGTTGGAGGCCGGCCAGTGGAATAAGGGTGGGTGTTGGCGGCGCACCTATATGATATGGAGACGAAGCCCTCTTCAGCTTGGCTCTGCAGCCAAATGATTCATCTATCGTTCAGGGAGCGGATTCAGTCTCTCGCTGCTATGGCTGAGTCCAAGGTAAAGCCGGCAGCCGGAGGGCCCCCTTCCAAAACCAGTAAAGATTCTAAACTTTGGTCCCTCATTTGCCTCGCTCGAGAAGTAGGAGGAGACGCCGACGCTATACAAAACTACGCCCACCTCATCGACGAAAAGCAACGACTCGAGAGAGAGCTAGGCGATCAGACAAAAGAAGTCCTGCGGCTAAATGGGGAACTGGTGCAGCATAAGGCGGCCGCGGCTAGGGAGAGGTCCGTGCTAGCACACACGTTTGGCGAACAGTACAAGATATTTGACCAAAACAAGTGTCACGGGCTGTGCCCGGCTGGTGGACCCGGTTGTACCGGGTCCGGTGGGTCGTGCTCCGGTGGCAACACCGGCCCCGCTCCGCGGACCCAGAAGCTGCGAGAACATTCCGAGAAGGGCAATATAAGCTCGCACTCGAGGCTACGCCTCAAGTTCAGCTTCTTTTCCTCCTTAGCTCTAGATAGACAACACCTAGGCACCTGCTTGTTGAATAAACTCCGGGCCAGCCTTTCACATATCTAGAGCTCCTTCTAAATACCGCAAGCTGCAGACTGCTCGTCAGGATGGACCAGCAGAGTGAGAGCCAAGTCTCCAGCAGCAATGGATTGACCAACGCATTCAAGAAGCGGTCAATGCGACTCTCAGCCCTCTACAGGACCAACTTTCCTTGCTGATGGAGCAACTCGGGCGAGCGCAGCCGCAGAGCGCCGACTTGCAATCGCCGCCAGTGGCACGAGGATTGGGCGAGAGCACGCCTGGCTTGGGCACGCCCCTCCCCAAAACCTGCGGTACTGGAATGCGGAAACCGTTGCCCAACCCACCCAAGTATGACGGCTCACGGAAGAGCTACTCCGCCTGGGCCAGGCAGATGCGAGACAAGCTGGACCTTGATGCACACTACTACAGTGGAAATCGCGAACTTTGGTACCTCATCAACTCATGTTTGGACGAGCGACCACAGCAAGTGGTCGCTACCTTTTACGCCGCGGGAGGCCCTGGGGGTAGCTACGACCCCCAAGAGTTCATGCGATACCTCGACCGAACCTACCAGGACAGCAACATCCAATCCCGCGCTGCTGCCACGCTGAGAACTATGCGGCAGCGCGAAGACCAACCTCTCGCGTCCTTCCTTCCCCGATTCGAACAGGCATTAGCTGAAGCCGGGGGAGCAGACTGGCCGGACAGTGCAAAGATCGTATTTCTAGAGAACGCAATAAATGCACGCCTCCAGAGAGTTTGGTCACAGCCGTCCTACCCGACGACTACCAGGGATGGCTTGCGAGAGTTCAGGAAATTGCGGGCAGATTGGAGAGACTGAAACCCGGTAGGCAGCCGACGTCGACTGAGCGGACGCCTCAACAGCTACCAAGGCAACGACCCAAGGAGGAACCGGAGGACCCCGACGGAGATGTTAAGATGACGGACATCAACCGTATTGGCCACGAGTCGAAGGGTCGTCGACATGTCGATAAGAAGCCGAAGGATGAGCGCCGCTGCTATCGCTGTGGTCGGACGGATCATCTTATCGTGGACTGCCCAGCCCAGGTGGTCTTTCCTGGCGAAGGAAGCAACAGCGACCTAAAGCTGCGCGCATGAAGAAGCCCGATGCCGCAGATGATTCGGAATCAACCGCAGCATCCAGTGAGGACGAGTCGGCGGGAAAAGACTAGCCCCGGGCGAAAGCGGGCGCCGGGGCCTGCAAAGGCAGACATCCGGGACTGGGAAGCGTTCAAGCCACGAATGAATAGTCGGACTGTATTAGTCAACGCGCGGGTAAACCGAGGCTATCGAATACGCGCCCTTGTCGACTGTGGATGTGACTGCTATGCCGTGATCGACGAAGCCCTTGTTCGGAAGCTGCGGATACCCTTCGTCGACTCGAAACCACGAGAAATTGGGGGATTCTCAGAGTCAGCGAAGAGTGTCATATCCCCAGGGTCGTGGCTGTTGTGGTCGAGACAGCTGGATTTGACGAACGTGTCTTTGCATACGTGATCCCAAGCCTGGGCCAGGACATGTTCCTCGGCCGGCCTTGGATGGAGAGAAATCACGTCGTGTACGATGCTGCCAAGCAGCGAATGTACCATGGGAGGGCAGGTGTGACGATACGCCTCATTGGGCAGGAAGAGCCCGCCAAGATACGCGCGATTCGAAGCGCAAGACTCGTGTCGGCAGCCGTATTCACGGCGGAGTGTCGACGCGCAAAGAGACGCAAGAAGTGCAACGCGATCTCGATTCATGCAATCAGTTTGTCGGATATAGAGAGGCGCTTCAGCCGAAGCCGCCAGTCGATCCGAGCGAGAAGGTCCCGGCAGAAGTGCTGAAAGAATTCCGCGACCTATTCTCACCAGGAGAGGCAATGAAGCTGCCGCCACATCGACCGGGTGTGGATCATGAAGTCAACCTGCAGCCTGACAAGAACGGCAACGAGCCACCCCTTCCGTGGGGCCCACTCTACAACATGTCACGAGAAGAGCTGTTGGTCTTGCGAAAGACCCTGAAAGACCTGCTGGACAGAGGATTCATCCGAGCGAGTAGCTCAGCGGCTGCCGCGCCGGTGCTGTTCGTGCGGAAGCCGAATGGAGGGCTGCGATTTTGTTGCGACTACCGAGCGCTGAATGCAATCACCAAGCGCGACCGATACCCACTGCCCTCATCGCGGAGACCCTGCAGAATCTGGCCAAGGCTAAGTGGTTCACCAAGTTGGACGTGGTGGCCGCTTTCCATAAGATCCGCATGGCTCCGGGACATGAGGGAAAGACTGCATTTCGCACGAGGTTTGGGCTCTACGAGTGGCTCGTGTGCCCTTTCGGCCTGAGCGGCGCCCCGGCATCATTCCAACGATACATGAACAGTGTATTGCGCGAATGGCTGGACGACTTTGTCACAGCGTACCTGGATGATGTACTGATCTACTCGAGCGGTTCGAAGGCGGATCATGAGGCTAAGGTGCGACGAGTTCTCCAAGCACTCGCCGACGCTGGGCTGCACCTAGACCCAGCGAAGTGCGAGTTTTCGGTACAAGAGGTCAAATACCTTGGGTTCATCGTCAACGCAGGAAAGGAATCGCCTGCGACCCCGAAAAGCAGCGCGCCATCCGCGAATGGGAGGCCCCGACCACGGTGAAGGGTGTCAGAAGCTTTCTGGGCTTCGCCAACTATTACCGGATCTTCATCCCCGACTATGCCAAGATCACGCAGTCTCTGGATGCCCTGCTTAAGAAAGGAACTGCCTTTCATTGGGGACGAGCGGAGAACGAGGCGTTTCAGGAGCTGAAGCGACGATTTTGCGAGTCACCGGTGCTCAAGCAGTGGGACCCGAGCCTCCCGACCTTTTTGGAGACGGATTGCTCAGGCTACGCATTGGGAGGCGTCCTGTCGCAGGAAGGCCCAGATGGACGTCGACACGCATGCGCCTTCTTCTCGAAGCGACTTTCGCCAGCGGAGTACAACTATCCCATTCACGACAAGGAGATGCTTGCCATCATGAGATGTCTCGACAACTGGAACGCCGAACTTAGGAGCTGCGGCCCATTTACAATCCTTACCGATCACCGCAACCTGGGTATTTCATGACACGCCAGAAGCTCACGGAACGGCAGAGCCGTTGGGCAGCCGAATTGTCCCAGTTCGACTTCAAGCTCGAGTATCGACCGGGAAGCGAGGCTGTCGTGCCTGATGCGTTGTCCCGCCGTGAACAAGACAAGCCACAGGGCATTGACGACGAGCGGGAACAAGGAAGAATGATACAGTTGATACCGGATAGTGCCATTCCATCATCGACAAGAGCATGTATCAACGCGATGAGTTCTGACTGTTCAGAGGCATCCACCCTGCCGAAGATGAAGGTCTTCGAGGTAGCGGACCTGCAGCAACTCTGGGACGAAACGGTGGCGAAGGACTCGATATTCCGGGCAGCCTATAAGGCAGTCCGCATCGCGAGCGTGCCTTCCCGCCCTCGCTGGGCCTGAAGATCCAGATTTCAGAATGTGCGATCGACGCAGGCAAAAGGCTGACATTCAGAGACCGTATTTGGGTGCCGGGTGGATCCGGAGAGGAGGGTAACCAGGAGGAAGCTGAGAAAGACCAGTTGAGAACCCGCATTGTGCAGCAGTCGCATGACTCTGTTGCGACCGGTCATCCCGGCAGGGGTACGCTGGCTATTGTGGCTCGGCGATTCTACTGGCCTGGGCAGTCCCAGCTGGTTCGCCGGTACGTAGCCAATTGCGACACCTGCGGCAGAGCACACATCTGGCGCCAGTCGAAAAGGGGATTTCTCAAGCCTCTGCCGATTCCAGATCGACCCGAAGCCATTTGTCCATGGACTTCATCACAGATCTGCCGCCTACTGGACCGAGCAAGGCAAGGTACCTGTGGGTGATTGTGGACAGACTGACAAAGGCTGTGACCCTCGAGGTGATGGACAACATGGAAGCTGAGCCGTGTGCAAACCGTTTTCTCCAGTGTCATTACCGATTTCACGGAATGCCACGGTCCATCGTCAGCGACCGCGGGAGCAACTGGCTAAGTAGGTTCTGGAAGAGGTTCTGCCGTCTTGCAGGTGTCACGCAGAAATTGAGCACGGCCTATCATCCTCAGACGGACGGAGGGCCAGAGAGAATGAACCAGGAGATCGAGGCCTACCTGAGAGCCTACGTGTCGTACGTGCAGGACGACTGGGAGAACTGCTCCCTGCCGCGCAGCTGGCACTCAACAATCGTGAATCCGCAGCGACCAAGATCAGCCCCTTTTCGCTGAGCATGGTTACCACGTCGATCCCATCAGCGTCGAGGAATCGGAAGAGCCACCGAGGCATAGAGAGGAAAGCAGAGCTGATAGCCTACTCAGTCGCCTGCAGGAGGTCAATGAGTACATGCAAGCAGTGATGGCCTCCTCACAGCAACAACAAGAAGAGGCTGCCAACGCAAAGCGACAGCCTGCGGAGCGATTTGAAGTTGGTGACAAGGTGTGGCTCTCGATGGCAAACTACAGATCGCCACGACCGTGCAAGAAGCTCGACTGGCTGCATCACAAGTACACAGTCACGAAGGTAATTAGTTCGCACGTTGTTGAGCTCGATGTTCGTGGCTCAATTTACCCGCGATTTCATGTTGACCTTTGCGGCGGGCGCATCAAGATCCGGCTCCTGGCCAAAGGTAGATGACGCACAGCCACCACCGGTACAAGATGAGTCCGGCACGGATCTGTGGGATGTCGACGAGATCCTCTGCGCGAGATGGAAGAAGCGCGGACGAGGAATTCAGGCAAGCACTAGTGCGATGGACGGGCTACGCAGAGCCGACTTGGGAGCCAGTTGAGTGGTTGCAAGGAACAATTGCGATGAAGGCATTCGAGGACAAGTACGGGCCAATCAAGACCAATGATGGCCCTAGGGAGGTACGAGACGCTGGCAGGAACGCAAGAACCCCGCAGACGCCGACCTGGTCGGAGGGAAGGGGGTAATGTCACGGGCTGTGCCCGGCTGGTGAACCCGGTTGTACCGGGTCCGGTGGGTCGTGCTCCGGTGGCAACACCGGCCGCCCGCGGACCCAGAAGCTGCGAGAACATTCCGAGAAGGGCAATATAAGCTCGCACTCGAGGCTACGCCTCGAGTTCAGCTTCTTTTCCTCCTTAGCTCTAGATAGACAACACCTAGGCACCTGCTTGTTGAATAAACTCCGGGCCAGCCTTTCACAACAAGGCCATCTTGGAAACTCACCAAAGGAAGATGGAGGAACTCCAAGTGGAACTAGAGACGATCAAGGACAGGGACATTTCTCTACGAAAACAAGTAGCAACCCTCGAGTTGAATGCCAATTCGGCCAATAATGCACGCGATCGACTCCAAAAGAAGACAGAAACAATGGAGAGAGACTGCATTATACACCGATCTCAGCTCCAGGCGGCTCAAGCTGAACGCGACGATCTGAGATTGAAGCTGATGCAGGCGAGAGGAGACCTTGGCTCTGGTTTCTTTCATGACGTGGACGAGACTCGAGAGTTAAGACTGTGGGTATCTGGTTTGCCTTATTAAAATTAAAACGGTTGACTGACGCCTTCTACAGTAGAGAACAGCTGAATTCTCTGGCAGCAGTATCCCACACCATTGTTAAGAATTTCATGTCCGACCCCGAGGCTGCAAGGGTGAGCTAGCTGCTACCGTAGTGAGGTTAACAGACATTAACTGACAGTGTCATAGACTTCTAATCCCCCATTGCAAAGCCTGCAATCCCGCTTTCCTAGTCTCCCTTTGTCAACTGGGGCTACCAAAGAGGCAGTTCTAATGCGCCGTGCGGCGGGACAGGCCGTCATCTGTGAAGCTCTCTCAGCGTACATCTTTCGCCCGTTCTACGTCCCGCATGACTTTAAGCAGGCAGCGGACCAGATGCTCGAGTTTTCGAGGAAGAAAAAGAGCTACAACAAGTTTTCCGCCACCAGGTTACCAAATTCCAAGACGATTCAGAGCTGGAGGCGGCCGCGGAGGCGGTAGTCGATGCTGGAGGTTATATCCTAAGGCTGCTCGATCGGTTGGTCTCGCGTGCAAATGTGCAAGAGTTCCATCGGCGGGTCGATGAGTTTTTGCGCCGAGCAGCCCAGGTATGGGTTCACGAAGCTCAGCCAGCCAGTGATATTGTTCAAGTTACGATTCTCATGGGTGAAGACGAGCATATGGAGAGTTACCCCGATTTTGGAGTTCGCAACGCCGGCAAAGTTGGTATTGCAAACCACACAATAGTGGCCACGCTGTTCCCCCGTATCACGATCAACGGCAAGATGCTGCACGGTGGGAAAGTCTTATGGTCAGATTCTCCAGCCACCATCATTGCCAGGGACCAGAATCCGAGCCCAACTCTAGGGCGCACTGGAACACTCCGGAAGAACGGGCGGCGCAACTCCGTGACCGGACGCCCCGCGACTTGATAATTGGTCTTGATTTCAGCAATCAGACACGTCAGTGACCATCTAAGCAGGCGGCGCGGCCCCTGAGCGGCTTTCGCAATTTCATGAAAGGCCCGGGAACTGGACCTTTTCACGGCGCCAACACCCTGTGGACGCTGCCTCGAGCAGAGCGAACTCCCATTGAGTGAATTGGGGAGGTTTGGCTCATCGGGCCGCGACTCCACGCGTCGTGATTGACGTAGCTCGTAGCCGCCGCAGTTAGGCCGGGACGCCGGCCGCTCTGCCTCTGCTGGCAGGAGTGATGCTGATGGTAGGTATGGTGATATTATTCGGTTGCTTGACGACAATTGTGGCTTGAATTTGCGCATGATGGATTGCGTTCATTTCGTTCTCGCTTCGCTCGGCTTCAGTTTCATCATAATTCAGCTGATACTGTCCAAAGCGACAATACTATTCCTTGTTTTCTCGATCAGCTAGTGACGTACGGGCTTGAGATCGTTGACCCGATGATGCTTTCGTTTTTGCTCTGCAGGGCATTTCGGAAAAAGCAAGTTTGCACCGCTGTCTTCAATAACAACTCGTCCGTGGCGCGTCCGCACACACGAGTCACGAGTTTGGGAAAGGATATCTTTACAGCCTTTTCCTATACGAAGAATAAGCTTAGCCCTACCCTTCCAAGTATTTCGTATACAAAGGAAGGGGTAGAAGCTAAAGCAACTACCTTTAACGAGAAGTGCGAGGCATTTCTCTCCACACTTTTCCCAGCTCCACCACAGCAACAACAGCAGCAGCAACAGCTTCAAGAACACCTAGAGCGTCTAACGGCCAGCCCCCAAGAACCCCCTAGACCCCAGAGCCCTCGGAAAGAGCAGCCCCCGGGCTATAAGGGCAGTAAGGCTAAGGGGGCAATATGGGACTGGCCGGACTTAGAGGATATAGAGGTTAAAAAGGCGATCCTAGGATCCTCCGCAAAGAAAGCTCCCGGGCCAGACACGATTAGTTTCCTCCCACTACAACACGCCTATAGGGCTATACCTACTATTTTTAATAGAGCCTATAAAGCTCTATTTAGTAGCGGGTATCACCCTAAGGTATAGAAGCAAGCTATAGGCATTATCCTCCCTAAAGAGAATAAGCCGGACTACTCCATCCGTAAAGCATATAGGGTTATTGCCTTACTTAATTGTCTAGGCAAGACCTTAGAAAGGCTTTTTGCAACCCGGCTAAGCTACCTAGCTAACACAGCTGGCCTGCTGGGGCTTACGCAACTAGGGGGAAGGAAACAAAGATCTGTGATAGTGTCACGTGCCAGCTGAAGCAGACCTCCGAGACATTTCGGAGGTAAGCGTTAGAAACGGGAGGATGCTATTATGTTAAAAGGATCCCACCTCTCAAGCGTTGAACAGGCTCTTTAGAGATCAACAATTGCATCACTGGCCCCCGTTCTTCACTCTCTGTTTCGTTGTGCTCGTGCTCCTTACAGATAGACACAGCCCTCCTCTGTCACACACAGGATATCAGCCTCCAACAGGCCGACCCCTACCATCTACACTATGCCAAACACCCACACCAACCATCAACATTATGCACACGTTATAGGCACCTACACTATATGATCAGATGCTTCTAGTATCTCCCAGCCACTCCTTTATATCATCTATAAAGATGTTGCTCTTTTTCCTTCTAGATAGCTAAATCAAGAGTTCTTCCACTTCCTGATCTTCATGCTTGCTGCTGCTCTACACCTCGTGCGATATACTCCTTACGCTCTACATCTAAAAAGAACAAGCAGCAAAAAAGAGGGCTATTACTAGTACTCTCTTTCTTGACATAAAGGGGGCCTTTGATCACATATCGAAGGAGCGGCTAATAAGAGTTCTAGAAAGGTTCCGCCTTCCTAGAACTCTTATTTGCTAGGTTAGCTGCTTTATGTTAGAAAGGAAGCTCCAGCTAGCCTTTAAAGGCCAACTCCAGCCACTAAGAGACATATCTATAGGGGTCCTATAAGGCTCCCCTATTAGCCCTATCCTCTTCCTCCTCTACGTTAGAGATATCCTAGCGGAAAAAGGATACCAGCTGTCCTATATAGACGACTTTAGCGTCTCGATCATATCAGGTTCAGCTAAAAAGAATGTTAAACAGCTAGAGAGAATAGCTGCTAGCCTCTTTAAACAAGCCTTAGACCAAGGGGTCGAATTCGACTTCGGAAAGACCGAACTTAT